GGGACAGGACTCTTTGGGAGGAAATAACCCATTCTTCACCCTCCCAGTAGCTGCTGGTTTTCACTGCTATTAAGGTTCTAAAGCTGCTCTATGGTTATTTCCATTATATTTTCTAATAGCTATTAATATCCGCATAAAAGACACAGAGATCTGTACATTTTTATGCTAGCTCCCTTATTAAATACTTGTTAAATCAAAGTTTTTCAGATTTTCTTGGGTTTTTCAGGTAAACAATTTTGTATCTGAAAACGGCTTTCTCCCTGGTAAAAATTTATAAATAATCTTTTTCTTTTCATGTTGTATTTCCCAGGAGTTCCAGAATAACACTAAGTAAAGGCAAACTTCCCGGCTCTGTTTCCACTTTTAAGCCTCGATTTTTTCTCAGATAATTTACTGATGGCTTTTTTTTCAGTAGCATTCTATATTATGTCCATCAGTACCTGTCTCTTCAGTCTTTACTAACAACTGTCAGTAGGTGCCTATCTGTCACTGGATGAAAATGTGTTAAAACAAAGGAATGTTACTTATGGTCTGCCAAACGTTATTCATCATTTATTCAACAAATATTTGGTTCATCAACTACATACCAAGAACAATGATAAGCCATTGGGAAAAATTTAAATAAGACATAATCTCTGCCCTTGGGAGTTTACAGTCTAGGCAGGAAAGTTTTAAATAAAAGTAGGTTGTAACTAAGTTAATTGTGAAGAATGAAAGTGAGCTAAGAGAGCTTGGAACAGGGAAACTGGATCTAGACGGGGGCGTGTTGGTAAAGGACACCTAAGGAAGTCAACTTCAGGCTGAGAAGTGAAGGGAAGCGGAAGCTGGTCAGGCCAGCGTCACGCGAACAGCAGACGTGGAGGTGCTGGGGTGGGAGGCGCAGTGTGGGGAGTCTGAGGATCTGAGAGGGGCCACCGTGGCCGAGGGACAGTGGAGTGGGCACGGTAGGAGGGAGTGTGGCTGGGAAGGTCTCAGGGCCCGTGAGCCACGACGTGCTCTTGGTCTTCATTCACGGGGCACTGGAAAGCAGTAGAGTGATGAGTCACGGGCTGTGTTTGAAAGCTCTGTGGTGTGGTAAATGGGGGTGGGGAGTGGCCGGGGGACTAAAGCCTGAACACTGGGGTCAGCTGTGCCAGGCATGGACTTGAGAGACAGTGGCTGAACTGGATATATTCTCAAGTTAGGATTTAAGGACCTGATATCTGCACATGGGGAATGAGGCAGCAGGAGGCATCAGATACTGTCCAGGTTTCCAACTCCAGCACCGAGAGGGAGACACAGACAGACAGGAGGGAACAATGGGAGAGCTCTAAGGGAGACAGCCGACACAGGGCAGCTGGACAGACTGGTCTTGAGCTCAGAGGGAAGTCCGCACTGGTGACAGAAACTAGGATCGTGCATATGGTATTAAAAAGAACACAGATTAGGGCTGGCCCGGTGGTGCACTGCTACAGTGCACCGCTTGGGAGTGTGGTGGCGCTCCCGCCAAGGGTTCGGATCCCACATACAGACCGGCCGCTCACTGGCTGAGTTAGGCGAAGCGGGCGCAACACCGAGGGTTGCGATCCCGTTGCCGGTCCCGGTCCGGTGCGGGCGCGACACTGAGGGTTGCGATCCGTTGCCGGTCACGAAAAAAGACAAAAAGGAAAAAAAAAACAAAAAACAAACAAACAAAAAAAGAACACAGATTAAAAATAAGAAGGGACCAGAGCAAAATCTGTGTTACAGACAGTAACACAGAAGGAAAACAGAGAAGGCGG